GTACATTTCCTCCCCAATTTAGGCAAGTTAAGGTAATTAGGCAAGTCATTGTATAATGATGGTTTGTTCTGTAGATAATTGAAAATAAATACTGCTTAAGGGGGTTAATAATATTGACCTTAAATTGTTTTTTTTTTAAATAAAACTGCTTTTATTCTAGCTGAAATAAAACAAATAAGACTGTCTCCAGAAGAAAAAAATACTATAGGAAATACTGTGAAAAATTCCTTACTCTGTTGAACAATGATAATACATTTTTTTTAAATCACAGGATGGCATTTTGACTTCAATTAAGTATTTATACCCAATTAAAAGAGTACTATAGTAATTACAGCGAATACTATAGAATACTATAGAAAAGTAAAATAAAATGTATTTTAAAAGTGGGTCAAGACAGGACAAACTTACGTGGCCCACATATCAATTTTTAACATCTGGGCCAAATACTGCATTTGACATCTGGCACATTTCTTGTGCTACCTCTGCCAAACCTGGGCTATATTTTGCCCACATACTGTATGCAAGTGATGGGCAAATGCCTGATGTGCCAGCTTTATGCCAAATCGAGAGAGAGAGAGAGAGAGAGAGACAGACAGACAGACAGACAGACAGACAGACAGACAGACAGACAGACAGACAGACAGACAGACAGACAGACAGACAGACAGACAGACAGACAGACAGACAGACAGATAGATAGATAGATAGATAGATAGATAGATAGATTAAATCAGAATTATTAGTCCCCCTTTTATTTTTAATTATTTTATTATTTCCCAAATTATGTTTAACAGAGCAAGGGAAATTTTCAGTTTGTCTGAGATATCTTTTCTTCTGGAGAAAGTCTTATTTGTTTTATTTTGGCCAAAATAAAATCAATTTAAATTTTTTAACACCATTTGAAGGTCAAAATTATTAGCCCCTTTAATTTTTTCTAATTTTTTCAATAGTCTACAGAACAAACCATTGTTATACAATAACTTGCCTAATTACCCTAACCTGCCTAGTTAACCTAATTAACCCAGTTACACCTTTAAATGTCACTTTAAGCTGCATAGAAGTGTCTTGAAAAATATCTAGTCAAATATTATTTACTGTAATCATGGCAAAGATAAAATATATCAGTTATTAGAAATGAGTTATTAAAACTATTGTTTAGACATATGTTGGGGGAAAAAATCTTCTCTTCGTTAAACAGAAATTAGGGAAAAATAAACAAGGGGGCTATTAATTCAGGGGGGCTAATAATTCTGACTTCAATATATATTCAATACATGTATTGAATATGACTTGTATTATAAATATTATATAAAAAATAAAATTAGAACAATCTCCATAAGCAATTGTATTAAATGACTGGTCACCCAAAACCAACTCGTTTTTCTCTGTTATCTTTGTTCCTCATCGGCTGTCCTTCGAAAACCTTTCTTTTTGTTTTAATGAAGCATCCAAACATTGCTAATTCTGCTATGCCATCCTTTTGTGTGCTAGTCTTTGTGAAACCACCATCATGTTTAGCAGGATGACACATCTTTAAATACTTTAAGTTACTTGTGGTAAAGTCCCTAATACTTCTTGAAATTGCAGCATGACATAAGAGAGATGTCAACCATGGTTGGCTGGTCCAGTTTAAAATACTTCTAAACTAGCAACTTTCATTTCATTCTCCCTGCTCTAAATAGCAGTTGCAAGGAAAAAAATGATATGCAGTTTGCATTGTTAAACAAAGCTAGCGGCCAATGGATATAGCTATGTATTTTGTTCAAAAATAATAGTAACTGATCAGTTTAGGAGTTCAATCTACATTGTGTTTACTTGCTATTTTCATACACACATAACTGAGTGTATTTGACAGTTGATAAACAAAAGAATGGCGTCCTGTTTGCACAATTAAGGTGCTTTTTTACTACATGGCTTTTTGGGGGCTTTCCACTTTGTTCTGTATCTAGTACCCTTTAATAGCAAAACATGCTACACACTGCTGATAGGGCTGCTCGATTCTGGCTTAAATTGAAAATCAAGATTTTGTTTGCTTAAAAATCACGATTTTGTCTTAATTCTGTAGATGTAAAATAAAGGTTAATATGAGTAGGCTGTTATTGTTATTTCTTAAACATATGGTAAAACAACAACCAACAACAATAATAATATTAGGCCTATGTGTCATTATTCCATCTTGCATTATATTAAATATATTATACTTTTTTATAGACTAGAGTAGTTATACTGAACAAGTAAACATTTATTTTCAGGCACAACACTTTATATTCGCTATGAACAAAAAAATATATATCAAATGCTTGTCGTAATCTTAAATCTAAATTGCAATGCGATCGTTTAAATGATGTGCGTTTTAGGTTTCACTTTCACTGCCGAGTGCGCTCATGTCATGGCTGCCGTCACTTACATACATGCAAATCATACTTCCCGCGTAGCTTCCAAACCATCACTCTATGCAACACTCTTTGTTACTGACTGCCTATGCAGCTCATGTGTTACATTGCAGCTGCAAATACGTCTTTACATTAAGACAGAAATGACATTTTTGCAGCCACTTCTGTATTGTGGGTTCACATGACTAAACCATTTATACCACCAAAAAAAACGAGAAATGCAACTGGAATGCCAGCATAGTTTAGAGCTCCAGACGTTTCTCTCACTGGTAGTTGAGGTGCAGATAGAGCCCTGGATTGATCAACCCAGAATGAAAATGATGTCACAGTAGAGGTGGTGCAACTTTTTCCCACAAATTTTAATTGGCTCTAAACTGCAGTGGAAATGTAAACCACGCAAATCTGAACCATATCATGCAGTGGAGTACCATTCATGCACTGAATGCCAAGAGTTTAAAATGACAAGACTATAAAACTCAAGCAGATGTTATTTTGTTGAAGGAATACCCAGACCACAAATTTTAAAGAGTCCCTCCCCTTTTTTAAAAATAATCTAATTTGCATATAAAGACACACATTTGCTTTAAATGTTATACAAGACTCATGTCAACTGATTTCTATCCATTTAAGTTCTTAAAAGGATCATAAAACACATCAATGAAGTGGCCTATTCCAAATGAAAAAATCCAAACAGACTTTTACTGTGAAAACTCTTGACATGAAGATGACTAAAGACTAGGGGTGTCACGATTTCGATTTTTAATCGAAATCGATCGAAATTTATGCTCAATTTCGATTATCGAATCAAAAAATAGAATCGTCGATGCTGCCACGCCCCCATGTCACGTCAGCTTGGCTTGCCAAGCGGGAAAAAACAGGCTTGTTGAAGTGCTTGTTAAACTGCAGAAGCAGGAGACCCGTCGACAGACCTTAAACCCTCTCCTCTTTCAATGAAGTCGCCGGTGTGTAAGCATTTTGGATTTCCAGTGAGTTATGTAGACAACAGTTGTATTTTCGACAAAAAAACACAGTTTTACAAGCTCTGCTATGTATGTATTAGGGTTCGTCCGATAGAAAACACAGACATCGCGATCCTCCGCCCACCCCTTGTTGCAAATCCGCTGGCGAAAAGTACAAACTCAGGCCCTGTTTACACTGTCTTTGTTTTTAAATGGCATTTTAGAACGACAACGATTTGACATCCACGGTGGCGTGTAGCATTTCTGAGCAGCCCTCCTTCCTCTCTACCTCTGACACACACACACAGACACACACGCGCGCACACACACACCCATGGGCTCGAGACCGGCAGTCAGAGGATCAGTAGACTGCTTCAATCTTTCACTCACTTGTACTTAGTTATTTTAGCGAACACCTCAGATACTGTTGGCTGGTTCCTGTTGGTTGTGCGTCTTTTTTACTGACACAGATCACTGCCTATTCACGAGTCCCACAGAAAAAGTGATTGACAGGTGGTAATTATGTGTGTATCTTGCCTTTATTCATTTACTGTATGATTTGTTTATGGGTAAAACAAAGACCACGCAGGTCAGGTAGTTTAAACGGTAGGCTACAAATAATTAATTGGTCATTAATTAATTAATTATTCATAATCGAAAAATCGAACCGAATCGTGCCTTTAGAATCGAAAATGTAATCGAATCGAGGATTTGGAAGATCGTGACACCCTTACTAAAGACATATAGAATTAATATTTTTTTGTCTGAAATGACTTTTTTAAAGTTATCTGGGGGGATAGGGGGCTTGTTTATTTTAACAACATAAAGGTTTGAACTCTGTGAACTTTGACTGAGGTGTGCAGAGAGATGTGAACAAAAGATGAAGTGCACTAGGAGATGTTCATACCAGAGATGATTTTGGGAGTCTGGATCTCCACAAAGCCCTTGTTGATGAGAGTGTCTCTGAAGAGTTGACATACGCCCGACTGCAGCCGGAAGATAGCCTGGCTGGTCGTGGTCTGTGAGAGAAGACACGTGTGTTAGTAAACAAGTTATGTAACCTGTTAGTATGGGTGTGCCATGTGCTGATGTCAGTGCTTCTGTTTTTTCAACCTTCCACTTTGCAGCATATGTTTTGCAGATAAAAACATAAACGCTAGACCTCATAAGACCTTGTTTTATTGTGTTATAATAAAAATCTCTCTGGCAATGGAATATATTCTCATCGTTTTCTCAGAGATACAAATAAATTAGGTCCTCTTCACAGTACCAAAGGGACACGGCACTTGCGAAATCAATCAAACCTCCTGAATCCTCCGTTCTTGAGCAAAAGAGCTTTCTCAGCAGCCTGAATTTCCTATGAATCAGATGACTCCCTGATGACCCGTGATATGGGACACGATTCCTTTTATTCTCCCCGCCAAAAACAGAGTTCGCATAAATCCTACAGAAGCAATCGGGTTGAGTATCAATATTTCAGGGCTCTTGTTTATTGAATTTGATTAAGTTAGGACAAACTCGCTTTTACAAGCAGCAATTCATTGCTCGATAGAATAACAAAGATTTCTCTGGAGAATTAAATTAATAAGATCTATCCTGGTTCTGTGTTTGTACTCTCAACCTCATTATAACCACATTAAAAAAAAATAAAAATAAAAAAAAACTCCCTAAGGGGATTTCTGACCTGTAAGTAGCACAGATGTAGCTCTGTATGAAAAGCAAAGTGAGCTGCAGACTACTGTATATAGGCAGCTAGCTTTTAAGGTATTTACCCCTTAAAATAGAACCTCATAATTAAATAAAACTATCTCTAACACTAACTTTGCAAACAGATCTAAGTATTATATGCATGTGTATTACCTGGGTCTGTTTTAGGCATGGGACAATAACCGTTTTCAAGGTATACCGCGGTTTGGAAAAAACCAGTAGCAATGTTTCTATCAAAAAATGCGAATGATCTTTATGCGCAAAACTGGATTATCAGACAAAAGATGTGCAAATAAAGTGGCGTTTCCATCCAGCGAGTCAAAGAGAACAAAATCATCACGTCCTGATTAAAAGGCACCAAATATCAACAGTAAAAACAGAATATGCTGCGGTAGGAGAAGCTGCGGGAATCTTTTCTTCATTTAATAAATGACTTGCACCTCAGAAGGCAATCCTGACATGCAGTGAATGTGCGGTGGCGTTTGAAGGCATGAGATGTTTAGCACAGACGTTTTAGACCAGGGTGGGGAACGTCCGGCCTCCAGGCCGTATGCGGCCCGCGAGACCATTTGATCTGGCTCCATCTGTCAATTCAAAAATCACCCCTTGGGAAAAAATAAATAAATACATTTCTGTTATAGAAATTGACAGTTGTACACATTTGTTGCTCTGCAAAGCTCAGTTTCACATGAAAAAGCATGTGCTGTAATGTAACGTTTACAGCTCGAGATGCGCATCATTCATTGATGTACGTTCAAATCATTCATATTTGACGCAAATGAGACCGCATGGCATGCTTTTGTGTGTGCGCGCTTAGCCTCGGAGACGAGCAAAGCACAAACATCTAACGCCATCTTAATGTGAGCGCTTTATTGGTTAAATACATGCATATTTGTGTCAGAGCGCAGTGTTTAATGATTATTAAAATTAACCCTCATTTGTGTAATAAACAAACAAGTTGAGAATCAAAAGACATGTGAAAGAGAAACTATATCAGAGCTCTTAAAGTGACAGTGCGCAATATTCCTGCTGCCACCTGTTTTTATTATTAATCAAACAACAAAATCCCTCACTGCACTTGACCGAAGGACTTTAGTAGCTGCAGTTTTTCTTTCTTACAGTGAAGATGCTTAAAGCACAGTTTGTTTCATATTTTTATTTTATTGTATTTATTTCCCTTTCCTTATTTACGGGGAGGAAAATAACTGTGCATATATACAGTTAAAATCCAATTTATTAACCCTCCTGAAATATTAGCGACCCCTTCCCCCAATTTCTGTTCAATAGATAGATTTATCTTCAACCCATTTTTTAACATAACAAATTTAATTACTCATTTCTAATAACTGATTTCTTTTATCTTTGCTATGATGCAGTACATTTTATTTTACTAGATAATCTTAAAGATACTAGTATTCAACTTAAAGTGACATTCAAAGGCTTAATTAGTGTAATTAGGCAAGTCATTGTTTAACAGTAGTTTTTTTTCTGCAGACAATAAAAAATATATATTGCTTAAGGGGGCTAATAATATTGACCTTAAAATAGGTTACAAAATATTAAAAACTGCTTTTATTCTGGCCGAAATAAATCAAATAAGCCTTTCTCCTGAAGAAAAAAAAAAAAAAAAAGAAATACTGTGAAAAATTCCTCTGTTAAACATCATTTGGGAAATATTTATGTATAAAAAACAAAAAAGAGGGCGAATAATTTTGACTTCAACTCATAATCGTTTTGAATAACTGTGATTACAATTATGACCAAAATAATCGTAATTATGATTTTTCCCATAATCGAGCAGCCCTATAATTTAGTATGGCCCCTAAACGATGTTACAAAAATGTAAATGGCCCTTGATAGAAAAAAAGGTTCCCCACCCCTGCTCTAGACAGTTCTTGAGGTCATTAATAATATAATAACAGACATACTGAAATGATTACGGCATTTTAGAAGCAAAACGACATTTTATATGCTGGTTTGTTTATTCGCACACATTTTTTATCATCACACGATATATCAAAAACCTTTTTTTAATGTGGATACTGGAATTTGTATGGTAAAAGTGTTTCCATCACAGTTTAGGCACATCTTTTTTTTATCGAATAAAAAGTTTATCCTACTCAGTTATGCGCATTTTCAAATTTTTCAAATATATTGGCTGTCCGAAATCGCCTACTACTCAGTAGGTATTCCATTTGAATTTACTACCGATCAAAAAGTACAAACAGTATGAATGTGAGTAGTATGAATGGAGCTCGCACTTCAGATTCTGAATTCGGACATACTACTCGGCTTGCATACTGATTTTAGTGTACTATATAGTATGGAAGTATGATTTCAGACGTATCAACTGTGTTCAAAGTGGAAAAAAGTTTTTGTTTATTTTTTTACCCAGACATTTAAAAAGAATGTACACTCCTGGTAAAAGTCTGAGGTCTGTAGGATTTATAAATGTTTTGAAATAAGCTTATCCTGCTCACCAAGTCTGCATTCATTTCATAAAAAAATATATAGTAGATATTGTAAAATTGTGAAATGTTATTGCATTAAAAAATTACTGTTTAAAAGTAGTTTATAAATTAATTTAATAATTTATTCCTGTGATTTTAAAGATGAATTTTCAGCTTCATTATGTCAGTCTTCAGAGTCACATGATCCTTCAAAAATCACTCTGATATTAATTATTATTATTAATATTATTGTTATTAATGGTAATAGTAATAAAAGCAATAATAACTGGATTAATAATTTCATTTGAAACTACAAACAAAAAAGTGTTTATTTAAAACTTGAATATATATTTAACAATTCACTTATTTTTTATTTATTTGTTTTTTACTTTTAATAAATGCTGCCTTGATCAGAAAAAAAAAAAACATTTAACAAATATATATAAAACTGATAACAAACTGCTTGTAAAAATATATTTTAAAGCAATAATCATAATACCGTGAAACGGTGATATTTTTATTCAAGGTTATCATACAGTTAGAATTTCATACTGGCCCATGCCTACTTTGTTTTAGTGTGGTTTGAGTCGAAAAGGGTTGATTTATGACACCATTATTGTGGATTTTAAATCTAATATTTGACAAGCAGTCTTGACAAACAGTATTGGAGTTTCTCGTCGCCAAGCAGATAAGAGTTGTACTTACTGGTAAAGTGTGTTTATCACAGTGGCAGCTACTAAAAATATGTACACTGCAGATCAAAATTAGATAAAAAAAAAAAGCAGTTGTTTGAAATATATTCCAGCAAGTCTTTATAGTCACTTTTGATTAGTTTACTGCATCCTCCTTGCTGAATAAAAATATTCACTCAAAAAACCCTAAAACTAATATCATTTCTCATCTGAAGTATTCAATAATATTATTCTCTGTTTGTCACAACGCATTCTGATATTGCCTTTTCAAAATTTGAATGCAATTCTGGTTCAGAATTTGGTCAAAACAAGATATATAAAAAAAAAGCAACACATTTCCTGCATCCCTTTTGTAAAACATTCACATCTAGGGAGACAGCTTAATTTTGATGACCAAGTGAAAGCTACACAAAAAAAAGTTTTTGTTTTTTTTACATAGGAGTTATTGTGTAATATTTTATGACTATAAAAATCAGGCAGTAAATCGTACAGTAAACAGGACAATGACTTCCTCTTATTAATCTGCTAATAAAAATGATAAAGTCAACAAATTAAGATAGGCTGTCTGTATTCTCAATGCAGATCATGATAACCCAGTGCCAGGGACATGCTGGCGGGACATTTAATGACTGGTCTGTGAAGCAAAGCGGTTGTACAGTTAATATGCAAAGCTGTTATCAGTGGAGTGTGTAAACACGTAGGTTTCAGTTGGCGTCTCTCGCTGGGGGTGTGGAGAAGAGGGCTGTGTGCGTCACACTAATGTTCACAAGACCGTAGTGAGAACTGAAAAGGTGCAAAAAAGGCTGTTGTCCTGTGGTTTGACTCCCCCGCTTTGCACTCTCTGATTTCTGCCTTCAGCTTCTGGAAGTTCTCAAAAAAATGAGTCGCTTTCTCGGTACACTGGCAGTCTTATAGCACTGCCTGATTTCCATCTCATTTGGTGTGTATGAAAAAGAAAAAAAAATAAGTTGTTTGTTGTGTGGGTGCATATTAACACTGAGGCTTTGCTTTATGACAGAGTGAAGCCTGCCACTGCTGGAAAGGAAAAGTTAAAGTGTGAAAGCAGGCCCGGTCTGTTCACACAGACTCGCAATCTCAGAAACAGGTGCTCTCACAAGAGCACACAGAGCCTGAGACCCAAAACCACATCAGGGCTTCAGAAATCTGAGCTATAGACTTTAAAATGAGATTTTTAAAATGTACAGATTTGTTCATGTTTCACAACATCAGAACGTCAAACAGGACAAGACATTCACACAGTCTGATTCCAGCGACGTCCCAGGGACAGACGAGTCTTTGCTGAGGCTATCTTCCAGCCTTAACCACGGCGAATGAAGCTCTGCACAAGACTTTTGGGCAGCGGAGAAATTAAAATGGTCGTGCCCAACTGAGTCTGGTTCCCTGAAGGTTTTTTTATTTTTATTTTTTCTTTACTCCCATCAGGTGAAGTTTTTTTTCCCTCTCCGCTGTCGCCACTGCCTCGCATGGTTCAGGATTGGTAGAGCTACGCATCGATGAATTGGCTCTTCAGTGTTTGAACTCTCAGTAATGATTAAATCACACTGAACTGAGCTAAACTGAATTGAACTGAACTTAAACACTAAAACCTGAACCACACTGTTCTAGTTACTATGACCATTTATGTGAAGCTGCTTTGACACAATCTACATTGTAAAAGCGCTATACAAATAAAGCTGAATTGAATTGAATTGAATTGAACACTTTTTTTTTTTTTTTTAAAGACATGAGACTAATGTCAGTGGAACAAAACTGCAATGTTTTAGAGATGAAAACTGCAACTTCTTAGACGGCGAGTCGTGCACAAGACATATGCGAGTGCAGTTAAATGAAAACAACAGTAATGCATTGGAATGGAAAAAACGTGTTCTATGTGAATGGCCCCCAAGGAGGCCTAGAGTAACTGAAGAAATCTGTGTGTTTTTTGACTTCAAAGGACCACACCGATGTGATGTATGCCACCAAAGAGAGGTGATGATGATAAAAATGTCAGAACAAAAGACGAAACGCTTCATTGTTGTCATAGATTTGACACGCATACACATTTGTTTTGGAGTTTAAATTATGGGACGGTATGAATGCTTGATTTTGGTTGGTGAACATTCTAAGTTACCTTCCTGGCTGCGCATTATAATATAATAACTCATCTAGTTATGCAGCTTATGTTGAACTCTATTCTTGTACACGTGGGTGCTGTTAACCAGAACTCAGGGGATGGGTGCTGGGCTAACCAGAACTTAAAAGAAGGTTTACCCAAAATTCACACACACCTCTTTCTCCTGATATTTTGAAGAATGTTGGAATGCTGGTGCCCACTAACTTGTATGTGTTCTGTCCTACTATGTGTTTCAATGGCTACCAGTATCCAAGATTCTTCAAAATATCCTCATTTAGCTTCAGCAAAAAGGAAGACAACAAAGTAACAAAGGTCTGGAACCACTTCAGGGTGAGTAAATGGTGATTACTAAGCATGGGCTGGTATAAGTTTTTGACAGTATGATAACCTTGAATAAAAATACCACGGTATCATGGTATTGTGATTACTGCTCTAAAATAAGTTATTTTTAAATGTCTGGATAAAAAAAAAAAAAAAAATATATATATATATATATATATATATATATATATATATATATATATATATATATATATATATATATATATATATATATATATATATATATATATATATATATATATATATATATATATATATATATATATATATATATATATATATATATATATATATATATATATATATATATATATATATATATATATATATATATATATATATATATATATATATATATATATATATATATATATATATATATATATATATATATATATATATATATATATATATATATATATATATATATATATATATATATATATATATATATATATATATATATATATATATATATATATATATATATATATATATATATATATATATATATATATATATATATATATATATATATATATATATATATATATATATATATATATATATATATATATATATATATATATATATATATATATATATATATATATATATATATATATATATATATATATATATATATATATATATATATATATATATATATAAATATATATATATATATATATATATATATATATATA